TTTTTTTTTTTTTAATTTATTTATTTTGAGAGAGAGAGAGAAAAAGAGGGAGTGGGGGAGGGGCAGAAAGAATCCCAAGCAGGCTGCACACCAGTAGTCGCCGAGCCTGACTCAGGGCTCAGACTCACAAACTGTGAGATCATGACCTGAGCCGAGATCAAGAGTCGGACGCTTAACTGACTGAGCCACCCAGGCGTCCCTTCCTTCTCTCTTCTTGGTTGGGTCCCAGAGGACCTGCCGCTGAGGTCATGGTGTTGACTCCATCTTACTCTACACTCTGGTGGGTCTTGGAACTGCCTGTGCTCCAACCGCCTGCAGATCTGCGTGTCCAGCCTGGGCTTCTCTCCTGAGCTTCCAGAACCATCCATGCATGGGTCTCCCAGACGCCCCTCCATCCTGCCTCAGGACCTTCAAACAGAATGTTTTCTCCCCTCTTCACCTAGCAGATACCTCCTTCAGGCACCACCCAAGATGTCACTTTATTAAAACAGATGAAACCCACTTCCTTTAGCCTAATACATCTGCTTGGCATTTCCCTACACAGCCTCTTTTTTATTGAAGTAGAATTCCTATAACATGAAATTCATCCTTTTAACGCTTTCTAGTATACAATTCAGTGGCATTCAGTACATTCACAATGTTGTGCAACCATCACCACTAATTCCAGAACATTTTCATCACCCTCAAAGGAAACCCTGTGCCATTAAACAGTCCCTCCCCATTCCTCCCTTGAATCCCCCAGGCCCTGGTAACCACTAATCTACGGTCTTGTCTCTTTGGATTTGCCTGTTTGGGACGTTTCACGTGAATGGCATCATAGAATATGTGACTTTGGCGTCTGGCTGCTTTCAGTGAGCACAGTGTTTCATGACTTCCTGTAGTTCATTTGTTCAGCGGGTACTTAATTTTTTTTTTTTCAACGTTTTTTATTTATTTTTGGGACAAGAGAGAGACAGAGCATGAACGGGGGAGGGGCAGAGAGAGAGGGAGACACAGAATCGGAAACAGGCTCCAGGCTCTGAGCCATCAGCCCAGAGCCTGACGCGGGGCTCGAACTCACGGACCGCGAGATCGTGACCTGGCTGAAGTCGGACGCTTAACCAACTGCGCCACCCAGGCGCCCCGCAGCGGATACTTAGTACCTACCGTGGGCCGGGAGGTGCTGTGCTTTTCCATCGTAACACACATCACTGCTGTGATTAAGTAACTGAGAAGCGATCTCTTAAACGTCTCTCTGTGAACTCCCGGAGGTTAGGGGTCCTGTCTACTGTTCATCTTGGTGCCTGGTACCGTGTCTAGCACCCGAGAGGTGCTCACAAGTTTATGGTGAATGGAAGTCAGATCTTGGGTAAGGAGCTGTGTCTGCCCAGGTCACCAATGGGGGCTGGCTAAGGAATAGCCAGTGAGTGTTTGCTGAGCAGAGGAACGAGCCCCTGCTTCGCAGTGGAGGGTGAGGGCAGGAGCTGGGCTTTGGGGGGACGGGGCCCGCTGCTGCTCCCTGACCCTCTTGCTTTCTCCTTGCAGGCAGAGTGTCTCTGGCGCAGTTTGCCTTGGCCTTTGTGACCGACACGTGTGTGGCAGGTGCACTGTTGTGCGGGGCTGGGCTGCTCTTCCATGGGATGCTGTTGCTGCGGGGCCAGACCACGTGGGAGTGGGCTCGGGGCCAACACTCTTATGATCTGGGCCCTTGCCACAACCTGCAGGCGGCCCTGGGGCCCCGCTGGGTCCTCGTCTGGCTCTGGCCCTTCCTGGCCTCCCCCTTGCCTGGAGACGGGATCACCTTCCAGACTGCAGCTGATGTGGGCCTCACAGCCTCCTGACTCCAGGAAGAGCCAGAGCTGTTCGGGGAGAGGGGAGCAGGAGAGGGGGCTCCTAACTCATCTCAGGCCCATCCCTAACCTCAGGAGGGGAGGTGCACTGGTACTTAAAAATGCCTTTCGGCAACTCCAGCCCCATCCTTGGCCTTGCCCCTGCCCGGCTTGGACTCCAGTGTCCAGGGCTTGGGCCCTGCAGCTCTGCCTCATTGGCCCTCTAGCAGAGTGGCAGGTTTGGCAAGGGGCTGCTTGGCCAGCCTAATCACCCCTTTGCCAAGTTAATAAAGCGCCCACTTGGTTCTTGGACTCCCTCCATCTTTCTAGGTTTCTGGTTCCTCTCACTGTCAGGCCTGGGACCCACAGAATGCCTGAGGGCATGAGGGGCCAGGGCTCTGCCTCCTGTGGCCTTGGTGGGGGCCAGAGCTGGGGCACAGCAGGCCAGGGCTGCATGTAGGGATCCAGGGAAAGAGAATGCAACATTCTTTCCCTGGTTCAGGGCTTTATAATTAGAAGCATCTCCACAACACTCACTGTGCCTCTTGGGCTAATCTGGTACCAGAGGCAGCAATTATGAGAGTTGATGGGATGAGATCATGGGGCAGTGAATGGAGGAGTCAGGATTTGAACCCAGATATTTGTGCTTTCTCCTTCGTCCTTCCACGGCTGAGGAAAGTGTGTAGGCAGAACTGAGGCAGAGAAATCAGGTGGAGATGTTAAAGCATCTGAAGGATGATGCTCAGAAGGCCAAGCTCTTCCTCTCTGGACTCTCTGGAGCTACCTGTTAAACATTTTTATTTAAATATAGCAAATAGACTTCCTGTTAAATGTGGCAGGTTTAAACACATGGGTTTACCTCTGTTTCCTCTTAAAATCTAAAATGAGAGTAAAGAAATAAAACAGGTATAAATTTACAAGGAGAGAGAAAGTAGGAGGGAGACAGTACTAGACCAAAGGACCTGATGATGTTTTGAAACATGGGAAATGTATGGAGGCTCATTAACTCTCTTAGCAGAGAATTAGAAATTAATTAAATGTTCCTAGAGGGAGGGGCCAAGAAGCAGCCAAATTGTCCCCCAGAGCCCTGGAGGCTCAGGAACTCTCCCGGCACCATGAAAGGCAAGGTTTGGGACGGACAGTAGGGGGACTGATCCAAAGGGCAGCTGGGTTGCCCTCCCCCCAGGGCACTCCCTACCCCTGGCAGCCAAGCAGCTATCCTTCTAAGGTAGAGATGGGTGCTATTCGAAGAAGCTTTGGGGGAGGGGTTGGACCCAAAACGGGGTTAAGTGAAAAAGTCTACAGATGCTGCCAAGGGTGGGGGGTTATCCCGTGACATGGCAGGCTTGTCACCCAGGAACCCTCGGAGAAGTCCATCCTTCTGACAGGTCCTGCCCATACCCACAGAGGTTTGAGCTGCTAGGACTTCGTTTTTTCCAAATGGCATGTTCAAGAACTATTTTGTAACTGTTAGGAATGTGGTGTGCCTGGCACTCTGTGCTACTTTACCCCTCCAGAATACTTTTCTTTCTTTCTTCCTTTCTTTCTTTTTTTTCTTTTCCTTTCTTTTCCTTTTTCTTCTTTTCTTTTCCTTTCTTTCTTTTCTTCTTTCTTTTTTTTAATTAAATAGTAAGGAGAGGCAAGAAGATATTTATAAAATAAAGAGGAACTCCCTCCCCAGCCCCATTTAAGAAGAGATGGAACCCACTTCTTTGAAGTCCCTGCTGTGCCCTCCCTGGTCGAGAAAACACTGTGCTGTCTTCACCATTCCCTTGCTTTGCCTTGTAATTGCATTACCTAGGTTTGTATCGGTTTTGCATGTTTTTGAATTTTATATAAATGGAATCATACCGTTTATTCAGTCACTCAATATTATGTTTCTGAGATGTATCCCAATCAATGTGTATAGCTGTGGGGCATTCCTTTTCCTTACTGGATAGTCAGCCACTGAATCTACCACAATTTATTTGTCCCATTTTGTCTCACGGGTCATTTTATCTGCCCCTATTGTGTGACTCCCTAAGATCCATCCATGGTCCTTGCTCTTCCACATAAATTTTAGAATCCATTTGATAAGTTCCACCAATAAAAATCCCTTTGAGATTGTGAATGGAACCCAACTGAATTTACAGATCGGTTTGGGGAAAATCAGCATCTATATGAAATTGCATTTTTCAGTCATGAACATGGTGTATCTATTAGATGTTTTCAATAAAATTATATACTTTTTCTCATAAAGATCATGCCTCTTTTGGTTAGATTTCTTCTTTTTTTAATGTTTATTTATTTTTGAGAGAGACAGTGTGAGCAGGGGACAGGCAGGAGAGGGAGACACAGAATCCGAAGCGGGCTCCAGGCTCTGTCTGAGCTGGCAGCACACAGACTGACATGGGGCTCGAACCCACGAACTGTGAGATCATGGCCTGAGCTGAGGTCAGACGCTTAACCTACTGAGCCACTTGGGCGCCGCACATTTCTTCCTTTTTTATTCATTTTTGAGAGGCAGCAAAAGCGCATGAGTGGGGGAGGGGCAGAGACAGAGGGAGAGAGAATCCCAAGCTGGCTTTGCACTGTCAGTGCAGAACCTGACTCGGGGCTCGAACTCACATACCACGAGACCATGCCCTGAGCCGAAACCAAGAGCCAGACGCTTAACCGACTTAGCCACCCAGGCGCCCCATGGTTAGATTTATTCTTAAGTATTTGATAATGTTTTGTTATTGTACATGGTTTATGCAAATAGATTGTGTACAGCAAACCAAAAACTTACCATTAACTTATAAACTCTTCTGAGTTTTCTATGTTTACAATAAAATAATCTGTGAGAAGACAGTTTTGTTTTTCCTTTAAAATTTTTATACCTCTTAATCTTCTTGCCCCTCCTGTATGGGTAGAGGAAAAGTAGTGGGCACCCTGACTTGTTTCTGGCCTTTGAAGAAATCATTTCAATATTTCACTATAAAATATGTTCACGGTGGGTTTCTTTTAAAACAGATGCCCCTTCCTGTTGGGATGAGCACTGGGTGTTGTATGGAAACCAATTTGACAAATTTCATTAAATAAATAATAAAACAGATGCCCCTTAAGTTCCCTTCTAGTCCAAATACATTAAAATAATCTGTATTCTTTTACTTTCAACTGTCTTGTAAAATCAGCCTACAGATGGGGGCGCCTGGCTGGCTTAGTCAGTGGAGCGTGTGACTCAATCTCAGGATTGTGGGTTTGAGCCCCAACATTGGGTGTAGAGGTTATTAAAAAAAAAAATCTTAGAAAGAAGAGATCAGCCTATAAATGGATTTTTAAATCTAGACAACACTGTCTTCCAGTTGAAACAGTCATTTATATTTATTGTAATTGATGTACCTGGAAAGATTTCTACTTTGTTATTTGTCCCACCTTTTCTTAGTTTTTAGTTTATCACCCTTCTTACTTAAAGTTACTTTTTACTGGGTACAGAATTCTAGGTTAATAGTTATTTCCTCTCATATGTTGAAAATAATATTCTGTCTTTTGGTCTCCATTGTTGCTATTAATAACATCAGCTGTTATCTATTTGTTACCCCCTTTGAAGACACTTTTGTCTCCAACTCTTTTAAGACTTTTTTGTCTTTGACATTCTGCAGTTTACTGTGATGTGCCCAAGTGTTGTTTTTTTGTTTTTTTTTTTTAATGTTTATTTATTTTTGAGACAGAGAGAGACAGAGCATGAATGGGGGAGGGTCAGAGAGAGAGGGAGACACAGAATGCGAAGCAGGCTCCAGGCTCTGAGCTGTCAGCACAGAGCCCGACGCGGGGCTTGAACTCACAGACAGCGAGATCATGACCTGAGCCGAAGTCGGACGCTCAACCGACTGAGCCACCCAGGCGCCCCAAGTGTTGTTGTCTTTGTATCTATCCTAATGGTATTCCTTGGGTTTCCTGATTCTATGAATTGTCTTTCATCTGTTCTAGAAAATTCTTAGCCACACCTTCACCTATTTTCTCTGCCTCTACTGAAACTCTGATTGGACCTCTCTACTCCATCCTCCTTGTCTCTTAATAACTCATATTTTCTGTTTTTTGCATTCTGGATTATTTCCACACATCTTTGGGTCTTTCTTCAGCTCTGAAACCAATCTATTTAGTTTTTTTTTTTTTCTTTTTTAAGTGGTTGTGCCGACTCTTCCATTGAGTTTTACATGTCAAATATCTTATTTCTCCTTCTAGTTGTTTGCTTTTCAGATTTGCTTGGTCATTTTATATGCTCTCTACTTCTATTTTAGGATCTTTTTCTTTAAATATATCAAAAACACACATCTGATATTGTTTGGTAATTCCAGTACTTTTTTTTTTTTTAATTTTTAATGTTTATTTTTGAGAGAGAGAGAGAAAGAGAGAACATGAGCGGGGAAGGGGCAGAGAGAGGAAGACACAGAATCCAAAACAGGCTCCAGGCTCTGAGCCGTCAGCACAGAGCCCGACGCGGGGCTCGAACTCACAGACCCCGAGATCATGACCTGAACCGAAGTCGGATGCTCAACCGACGGAGCTACCAAGTCACTCCTTAAATTGCCCTTCTTTTTCTTGTTTCCCAGAGTGGAAACTTCTAAATTACTGATTTCAGATCAATGCTACAAGTTTCCCTTTAAGCACTGCTTTTGCTGTATCCCACAAATTTGGTAAGTGTGTTTTCATTTTCATTTAGTTTAAAATATTTTTAAACTTCCCTTGACATTTCTTTTTGACCCACATGTTATTTAGAAGGGTGTTGTTTCATCTCCACGTATTTGGGGGAAATGATGAAAATTTAGGGGATTTTCCAGTTACCCTTCTGTTAGTGATTTCTAGTTTAATCCCATTTTGACCTGAGAACAGACACTGTATTATTTCCAGTCTTTTAAATTTGTGAAGGCCTATGTTATGGACCAGAATGTGGTCTGTCTTGGTGAATGTTCCACGTGAGCTTGAGAAAAATGTGTATTCTGCTGACGTTGAAATAAGTCTATAGAAGTCATTTGTTGACTGATGGTTTGGTGACCTCTATATCTTTTCAAAGACATTATAGTTAAAGATTGACCACAGAACAGAAAGAGCTGAGAATTAAAATAGTGGAATTTTAAAAAACAGGTCCAGAGAAGAGCTGAAAGAAAAATTTCTCAGAACATAGGACAGAAAGACAATATGAGAGAAGAGAGAAGAAAAACAGACAATCAATCCTGTTCTCTCTGGAATTCCCATTTATCAGGTGCTCGGTTAATGAGAATTCCAGAGAGAAGAGAGAAAATGGGAGGAAATCGCTTAAGAAACAAAATTTTGTAGAAGTGAGGGATATACATTTCCACCTCACAGCACAACAAATAACGACACACATGTAAGTCATGTCCTGACATTTCAGAACAAGAAGGCCAGGAGCAAAAATGGCATGCAACTTCTCAACAGCATTACCAAAAATCAGAGCACAAGGGAATACCGCCGTAAAAATGATTTTCTTGCATGAAAACTATTTTCAACTTCAAATTTTATGACCTGCTATCACACATGTATGTGAATGGGATAAAGAAATTTTTAGACAGTGTACTAAAATTTTTTAACTCTAGTGACTTTTTAAAGGCAGTACTGTGGATACACTCCACCAAATGAGGGGTAAAAGAACTGTAAGGATGAAGAGAAGGGGCCCAGGAGTCAGAGGCTCTAGTCAGGAGAAATAGTCTGCAGTAGTTCTAGAGAGCAAACAGTCCTCACTGAGGCAGGGGATGATGGAAAGTATCCAGGAAAACAAAGTAACTGTCAGAATGGATGAGGGAAGAATGAACAATTGCTACATACAGAAAACTAACCAAATGAAAAAAAAAAGGCAATTATTAACTCCATGAAAAATTAAAAGGTAATTTAATTATATCCCAATTTTGGCTCTGCAGGGAACAACTTTCATATAGTAAGATAAACAGCCATCTAAACAGTAAGTATTGATTTACCTAAAAAGTGGGGAGAAAAGGCGCAAAGTACTCCACAAGAGAGCTAAAGCCTCGCCTTTTACAATAGGGACCCAAGAGATAGTGTCTAGAATGATAAATCAAGCAAGAGATAAAATTTTAAGCAATTTTATCTTAAAAATATAAGCATATTTTTAAGATAAATAGCTAATGAATACCTGGCTGGCTCAGTCAGTGGAGTATGCGACTCGTGATCTTGGGGTTGAGTTCAAGCCCCACCACTGGATGCAGAGATTACTTAAAAAAATAGCTAAGAGAACTGAAAATGATTGTAGCAAGGGAGCAGTAGTGGGGAATGGGGAGAATTTTCTCGTTATAAACTAATTCCATAGTACTAAGTAGGTACGTGGTTTTAGATAAATACTTTTTTAAAAGATAATAACTTCCCTCATCCCTAATGTACACAATCTCCTGGAGCTCCAACTAGTGAGTGCACTGGGTACCATGCACTGTTCCTGGTTTCATGTTGCTTTATGTATACTTGTCCACATCAGTGCAGTTCATGTATTTTTAATAATAGATACATAGTATTACATCACACAAACTCTCTTTAGGTGCTGGGCATAGGAAGCTTCTCCACTTCCATCATCAGGAATAGCTACAAACTAGACTTGGTGTTCCGAGCTCACACAGTCATCACATGATTGGGGAAGAAGAGATTGTATGGTCATACGGCCCAGTGAAGAGCTAGCCCAGCCCCAGTGACAGAGCTCTAGCGATAAGGAGCTTACTACCTTCTAGAGCAGGCCTTTCCATCTCTGCCAAGCTCTCTTAGGAAGCTCTGCAGGTTAAACCTCCTGCTTCGTCCAACTGTGACTCACTTGGCTTGATCTAGAGACCCTTCACCACCCTGACCCAATTAATCTATGTCTACAAGCGGCCAGGCTCTGCACAGAGGAGGGGGATGGGCTCTTTCTTTGGTCCAAACCCCATCCTTTCTTAACCTGGCCCCAGAATGCATTCCTTGGGAGGGTTTGGGGTAAGCTGAGAGCTGTGTCACCCCAATCCCTTGCTGGGGTCCTGGACAAGAGGTTATTGCCCGGCCATGGCAGTTAGTGTGGGGCCCTTGGTCTCAAGGGCAAAAGCCCTGCAGTTACTCCTGTCAAATCCCCCCTTTCTGGAGTGGAGTCCTCATTTCCTCTAGAGCGGCTGCCAAGCTCACAGGACGCTAGAGCTCAATTTGGTCACAAACTGCCTCATTTTACATGTGGGGAAACTACAGCCTAGAAGGATTTGGTTACTTCCCACAAGGCTGAGGTACCATATGCTAGGCTGCACCTGGTCATACAGAGGAAAAGACAGGTGCTCAGGGAGCAGGGTTCCTGGCTCCTAAGTGGTTCAAGGTGGCCCTGGTAGCACCAGCCTAACACTGGCCAGGGCTCAGGAGGCACTGAGGTCCGGGACTGTGGGTCTAGGGCCCTTGTGGTCTGAACATGTGCTTTCCCTCAGTCTTTAGCCTCACTCAACACCTCTGGTCCATGCCTTTCCAGCTAATGCCACTGCCCAGTAAACTTTCCACTTACGTGATTGATCTGGGCTCCAGGGCACAGAAGAGCAGTTCTGGGCTTCTGCCTCCTGTGCCACCTCCCCAGGGCCCGGAAACGCCTCTCCTGTGCACCCCAGTCCCACTTGTGCTCTAACTGAGCCTTCCTCTCCTGGGACGCTCTTTCTGGACACGAGCGACCAAGTCAGGAGCGGCAGTTGTGTGGTGTTCAGAAGCCCGGTGGGGGCGGGGGCCACTAGCTCCTGGCACGGGCGCCCTATGCTTTCCTGGCACCACCTCCTCCCTTGGCGATCTTCATGGAGCATCACAGGCCTGAGACTTTGGCTGAGCCCAAGATTTCAGGAAAGGCCCCTGTGGGGAGGCAACTACTCCCTAGGCTCCCTTGTTTGGCTCACAAGGAGAAATCAGAGAATGTGTTTTGCCTGTAATCTGACCAGCATCAGACAAGCCTCTGGAACCCCAGGGAGCAACAGGGGGCTCGGTCTCACCCAAGAAAAGCCTCTGATTACCCCAGGCCAGGCCGTGGCCAATTCTGGCCTGGGCCTGCAGCAACCCAGGAGTAACGTGCCTACAGAAAGCAGCAAAGGAGAAGGCTGGGCCCGAGCCCCTCATCTCACCTTGACCACTTCAGAGATCTTCCTTCGGCCCTGGGGGTGATTTCTGGACAAAAGTGGGAGGATGAAGGACAGCAGTAGTCCGGTGGGCAAATGGCTGGGTTTTCCTGAGGGGGAAGGAGCTGAACCTCCTGGGTACTCACTGACCTGCTGCTATCGGTCACCCAGCAGTCAGGGTGGTGAGAACGGGGACACTTAGGAGAGGAGAAGGAAACCGTGGCCCCAACACACTGCTGCTCGGGGACTGGGCCATTGACTCTGCCCAGCTGAGTGGAAGCGGCTGAATCTTCCTGGTCCCGATTCTACAGGGGCTTTAACACCAGTCCAGGGGTCAGGCGGCTGCCAGCCCCTCGCTCACGGGCATGTTGATGTGGGCACTCAGGAGGGGTGCACTCTGGCCTTCACGAAGCACCAGCACCTACGGAGGAAGTGCCGTGGCAGTAGGGGCACGCCCCCTTTACTTCCTGCTCCCTGCAAAGGCCAAGCCCAGCCTGGTCTGCACTGGTCCCAGTGACAGGCCACCAGGGCTCTGTCAAAGGGGATGGGGAGGCTGCAGACACCCACCCGGACCTGGCAGCCATGTGGGGGCCTTGTCCACCTCACTCTCACTGTCTCCCCGACGTGGTACCAACAGTGGGCGACCTACCTTGATAATGTCCGAGATGCCCTTGTCACTGAGACTCTCCACAAAGGTCTCTAGTGGGTAGCTGAGCCCTGGCACCAGCAAGGGGACCTGGGTTTGGGGACAGACAGGTAAGGAAATCAGCTCTCATGCCTGGACAGTGTTTGGCAGATTCCAAAGCACTCTCACACCTGCTGTAGCAGCTGAATTCAGCATAGGCCTGGCAGGGCGGGTGGGGCTGATGGGCCCATTCACAGGGCATATGGGTTCAGTGAGGGGAGTGGACGCTTGAGGACCACATGTATGTCCAGGATTAAACTCAGACCAATCTTTCTCAGCCTCTGGTCCTCCCAACTTAGGATCAAATTGGATGTGGGGGGCAAATTAGGCCCTTCACTCTGTGGAAAATTTTCCTTGGGGCAGAAAGAGGCTCCCATTCCCACCGCAGGCATGACTGCGAGGCAGGATGGGCTCTGGGTTCTGGCTCTTCTCCTAGAACCTTCCATGTGGCTCCTTGAGGCCTCTCTCAGTCCGGGAGAAAAGCAGCCAAGGCAGGTCTTGGGCATTCTCCCCAGGGGAGGACCCTGCCATACCCCAGCCTGGTCTGTGGCTGTGGCCACCTGCCAGCTCCCTCACCACTGACCTGTTAGGGCTCTGTGGGCACCTAATCAGGCCCCAGCCTGGTCTTCCCCTCAATCCATGTCTCAGTGGGGCAGCCCAGTACCTTGAAGAAGGCCCGGGGCAGGGCGTAGAGCACCTCGTTGTACAGGAAGCAGACCAGCAGCCCCAGGATGGGTCGGGCTGCTGAGGTGTTCTGCAGGTGAAGTGTGAGCTTAAAGGTGGGACCCAGGCCCTGAACCTGCGGAGAAGGTGGGGTGGGTGGAGGAAGCCCTTAGGAACAGTGGCCTTGGGCACTGAATCCCATGTGTCCTGGCCCTGTCCTCCTGCTTTGTCATCAATGTTCTCGAGTTACTCTCTTCCAACTGCTCTAATGTATTGTCCTGCCCCTCAAAAGGCCCCTCAGAAGCCCAGAGGCTAGTTCCTGTTTGTACAGGGATCAGCAAAGGCCAAGTGGGGGAAGGGGCTTGATGCAGACTGCACAGGAAGCTGGTCAGAGGCAGAGCTGGCCCAGAGATGAAAGCCCAGCTCCCACCTATGGCCTCACCACTGTCCCTGCAGCTCTCTTCCCAGGATCTGACTTCCTCCCACTCTCACCCTAGGGTAGGCACAGGGATTTCATGTTCCTCCCTTTCATTCTCAGTTGCTTTGTAGCCTCTCCCTCTATCTATCTACTTCCTTTAGGGAAAGAGAAATTGGAAACCCATTTGGGTCAGACAGCACGCCTCTGGGACCCATTTAGCCCAGATGACCTTGAGGTTTCTTGTGTCTGAGTGCAGGGTCTCCTCCTCCCGTGCACGTCTCAGGACTTCCCTTCCCTGTAGCAGGCAGTCCTAGCCCCCAGGCTGCCCACAGTTACTGAAACCAACAGTTTTCTTCCTTGTACCATAGCCGTCAGAGTCCCTCCAGTCCTGGGAAGAAATGTCCCAAGGTGACTACTTGTGTGCCCTGCCCCAAATGCGGGGGCTTGTTTTGAGGCACGGCATGGGCTGAAGGAGCTGGAGAGTGTGGCCCGCTCCACGGCCCGCTGAGGGGAAGAGGCAGCACAGCAGAGGGGAGGAAGACAGACACTCGGTCTCTGGGCCTCTGGGAGGGGAGAAAGGGGCACAAGGCCTAGTGGGCTCAGAACTGGCTCTGGGGCTGAGGGGTTCCTACCCACCCTTGCCCTCTGCCCCTCTGGCCCTGAGGTGGCCTGACTGCCCCCTAGCCCTGGGTGCTCACCACAGCGTGCAGCTTGAGGGGCTCCCGGGCTGTCACAGACACAGGATTCAGGCTGGACTCCAGGGCCTGCACGTAGGCGCGGGCAGTCCGGAGGCGCAGCAGGTAGAGGTCGGTCTGGAAGGTCCGGTGCATGGCTGAGGAGAGGCGCACAAAGGGCTGGTGCCGGAGGGAAGGAGGGAAGGAGGGGGCAGAGGCAGGGGAGAGGGTGTCTTGCGCGGGCTGCTGTTCAGACAGCACAAGAGGAAGGCAGGGGCCGCAGGAGCTGGGAACGTGGGAAAGGGAGGACCAAGGTGCAATAGCCTGGCCTCGGTCCGGTGACACTGGACGCCGTGGGCCACACGCTGGCTGCCTCCTGCTTTCTGGTTTCCCACCACCGCACAATCCCACTCTCCGGGATGGCTCCTTCGATTTCGCCCTAAGGGCTAGTGTTCCCTTAAGTCTTGTCCTTGGTCCTCTTCCTCTATGCCCTGCCCCGGCTGTGAGCACTCCACTGAGGAACAGCTTCGAGCTCCTGAGGGTGGGGAGTTGTCACTACCGAGGCTGCAGTGCCCCGCTCAGGACCGGGCCCACGTCCACTCTCAGTCCTGCTTCCAGCTGCCTGATGGTCACCACCCGGACGTCCCATCGACATCTCGAACTCAACACCACGGACACGCACGTCATTCCCCCGACTCCGTCACTGCGTCCCCATCCACCAACGTGCCCAGGCTCACCTCTCACGGTTACTCATTTGCCAAGGTCTGAGGACTCTTTCTCAAAGCTGCCTCCAGAGCCCATGCCCTCTTCGTTCCCCCCGGGACCCTCTTCCAGGCTTAGCACGCTGGCTTGCCAGTTGGTCCTCGCCCTTCCACGCGTGTCAGGCGCCTCCCACCCCTCAGAGGTCTCATGTCTGGACGTTAGCCTGTTAGCCCATCTATTAGTCTTTCCTTTTTCCTCTAGTACTTTTACGACTTATTTTTAATTTACTCAGAATTCATTTTTGTGTCTGGTATGAAGTAGAGTTCTAACTTTTTTTTTCTAGAAGCATGCAGTCCCAATTATGTTTTGTGGACAGGCTTTCCTTTCCCCACTAATTTGAAACAACACCTTTAACATAAACTGACTTTTCCCATACACGAGGGTCTGTTTCTGGACTTTCTAAATGTGCCCTGGATCGATATCAATCTCCGTATCACACCACAGCTGCTAATTCCTACAGCTTTCTAGTTCATATAGTTCCTTCTGCTGAGAGGCTATGTCCCCTATTTTTAATGTTTATTTATTTGCGGGGGGCGGGGGGGGGGTGGTAGAGGGAAGGGCAGGGAGAGAATCCCAAGCAGGCTCTGCACCGTCAGCCCAGAGCCTGATGAGGGGCTCAAACCCACGATGATGAGATCGTGACCTGAGCCAAAATCAAGAGTCGGATGCTTAACTGACAGAACCACCCAGGCACCCCAAAGGTCCCCTCATTCTTAAATTCCATCCCCCAATTTCTTAGATTTACCGAAAATCAACTGGCAAGTCCTCAAAATAAACCCTATAGGGATTTTCACTGTAACGTTGCTATGTTCCTAGATTAATTTTAGAAGCTGTTAATTAATCAGCAGCTTTAAAGCATTAGGTCGTGCTACCCTGAGAGTCTCATCATTGAAATATTCAGATGGTCTTTTACGTTCTTGAGAGCAGTTTTATAACTTTCTTTCTTAGACTGACATTTTCTAGGGATTTTGTTGCCATTGTGAATGGAAACTTTGGATTTTCCAACTTGGTATATACCAAATTATTGAATTTTGCATATTTTACATTTGGTCACTTTAGAGAACTTCCTAATTATTTCTTGAATGTTTCAATTGCTTCTCTTGGATTCTCTCAGCTACAACAGCCTGCTAGCTCTTTTATCCTCTAATTTACCCTTTAAAACTATCAGCAAGGTCCCTTTATAAGACAGAGCTGGTCGAGTCACTGTATTTTTCGGCTTAACATCTTTCCCAGCCCCCACTACCTAGAATCAACCAAACATCTTAGCTTTGCACTCCAGGCCCTTTCGGAGCCAGCTCTGCCCTGCCTTTCCAGCCCCTGCTCTGGCCCCCCTGGCCTTCCTGCACTACTCCCGCGACCACGTGCAAGATGCCACTTAAATCCAGGTAGGATCCTGTGACTCTACTCACGCCTCTGCCTGAATCTCCCTTCCCTATCCTTCTCTGGCTGGTGGACTTATAATCATTTTAGGGTGAAGTCCAGTGTCACCTCTCTCTGAAGCCTCTCCCAGGCGCCCAGGCAAACTTCCTCACTCTTGTGAGTCTCAACAGCCCTTTGCGGAGACTTCTTCTACATCTGTCACGCATGTGAAATTAGCAAGGTAGACTGAGTTCCTAAGGTAGGGGTCTAAACCTATTTCAAGGCATTTGGCACAAGGCCTGGCATAATCCTGGGTACCGAATGAAGGGAAGAATGAATGAAAGAGCAAGAAAAACTGAATGGGAAAAGGAAGAACCCTGGTCAAATTCAGCTTCTCTCATGAGAATTCCTGCATCTAGAAGCAACTGTTCTCCCCTCTGCATTCGAAGGGCGTGTGCCCTCACCCACAGGATCTCCCACCTTGAGGCAGTTATTGGAGGTAGGGGACACCTCCTAGGCTGTCTCTGGACTTCCAGAGGCAGGAAAGCTGCCTGGTTGCCCAGTGCTTGGGGCACCCAGGCGGGTTCACCCAGTTCTTGCTGCTTTAGAGCAACGGAGAAGGAAGAGGCAGGACCTGGCCTGAGACTCACCGGTGCCAGCCTCCCGCTCTCGCAGCGTCTGATCCACGTAAAGCCGGGTCTTTCGGGGCACGTTGAGTTTCAAGGCCTGGGCTGGTGGGGGGCCCGCCTCACCTCCCCCTTCCACAAACACTGCCGTACGCTTCAGGATCTTGATAATCAGGCCACCGCCTAGGGAAGTGGACAGACAGAAACAGATCTGTCCTCCCCAGTTCTACCCTACATTCCCATTCCTTCCTCCCCAAACAATCTGCCTCATATAGACCCAATTCTGTCCATGTGTGTCTTCCTGCTGAGATTCTGGGTATCTAGAAGGAATAAAGGATGTTTTAATAATGTCCTACTATCCATCCGTTCATTCAGTAGTTACTTATTAACTATTGTGATGTTAATAGTTAATTAACATAATAAATGTTAATTAAATATTGTGATGTCTCCTCAGACACTGAGGAGACTGGGGTGAACTGGAAACACTGGCGCCTGGGAAGTGAAACCAAACTGCTGATGAGCTGGCCTCAGACAGGACATGTGTCTACAAGCCTTGCTTCCCAAACCCAGGCCTGCCTATGCTTCACATCCACATCTTCTTTCCTAGGATCTAGCCTGTCACCTTTGCGTCTAACTCTAAAACTCTTGCCAGGTCTAAGTCTGCTCACCTCGTGTGGTCATGATGAGGGTGTTATCTTCCCGCCCATACCGGCCAAAACAAAGGCTGGTCACTGCATCCTGTGGTGGAGACACCAGGACTTAGTTGGGAAAATACCATGGAGAGGAGAGCAAGACTGAGGTGGAGTGATAAGGCTGGGAGACCCCAGATATGATAGAATAAAGAGATGTGAGGTAAGGCCTGGGGCAATGCTGCCTCTGAAATATTTCCTCTATTTCTCATCTCCCATCCAATCTCACTGCCGCAGTCACAGTTCCAGACTGAATGTCATTGGGCTTCTGGGGTCACCTTTCTAACAGGTCCCCAGCCTGGTCTTTTTCCTTAATCTGTCCTTCACACTGATGCCTTTCAAAAATATAATCAGGATCGTGTCTATTTTCTGCCAAAAAAATTCCCATGGCTTTTGTCCTCCTGGTTAGAACAACTTAAGGCCTTCCACATCAGACTCCAACCTCCCTTTACTGTCCCTCTCCTCTTTACCCTCCTCCCACCCCTACAGCAGGCCTATAGTTCAAACCAACTGCTCTCAAACTTTACACATACACACACACACACGTTTCACATGTGATATAACCTGAGCTTTCTTTCCTTTTTAATGCTTATTTATTTTTGAGAGATAGAGAGAGAGAGAGAGAGAGAGAGAGACAGACAGACAGAGTATGAGCAGGCAAGGGGTAGAGAGAGAGGGAGACGCAGAATCCGAAGCAGACTCCAGGCTCTGAGCTGTCAGCACAGAGCTCGACGTGGGGCTCGAACCCACGAACTGTGAGATCATGACCTGAGCTGAAGTTGGACGCTTAACTGACTGAGCTATCCCGGTGCCCCTCTTTTTCTTTTCTTAAGTAGGTTCCACGCTCAATGTGGGGCTTAAATTTCCGACCCTGAGATCAAGAGTCACGTGCTCTACCCAGCCAGCCAGGTGCCCCCCCTGAGCTTTCTTTTTTATGTTGCTGGTTGTGGCCCGTTAAATTAATTTAATGACCCACAACTTAGTGTTTGAAAAACTCTAATCCAAATTCCTCAAGCCACCTGTATTCCTTAATCAAGAACATTCATGCCTCTCAGCCTTTGTTCATGCTGTTTTCAGTCTGGAATATTCTTTATGTATTCACTTGGCAAATTGTTTCAAGGCCCAGAGGAACTGTCACTTGCTATGAAATGGCTTGTGAGTTCCACCCCCATTTATCCTTCACCACCCCCCCCCCCCCCCCCCCCCCCCAGTTGCTAGGCCCCTCTGTGCTTTTTCAGTACTTTGTTCCGCTTTAGACTTGCTTGTATTTGAATTAGCGGTGTCTCTGGCTAGCTGTCATCTTAAATTATAAATTCCCTTAAGGCAGGATTTAGACATTGTTTTATCCCCCACATGGGCTGTGCACATGAGATGCTCAACAAATGTTTCTGAGATACATCAAAAGTCAAGGGCATCAGGTGGGGATCAGGAGAGGCAGCTAAGAAGCCCCAGAGGTGGGACCAGAACAAAGCGGAGTCAGCAGCTCACCGGGGTGTGGATGACATTGAGCAGGGTCTTATCACGGTAAATGCGGACTTCTCCATTGGCCAGCCCAGCCATGACGGCCTGCAGGCCCCGGGAGTGCTGCTCCAGGAGATTCATGGTCAAGATGGCTGCTGGCATTTGCACTGTCCACAGCTTTTTACCCTGGGAGAGAAGAGCTTCTTACCCTGGGAGTGTTCAGGACACAGTGTGGAAAGAAGGGGTGGCTGGAGTTGCAGGGAAAGAGACACCAGAAGGAATCGCTTGCTAAGGGGGACCAGAGACACATACATGGAGGGGCTGGGGGGTGATGCTTGCCCAAAGGCCACACCTTGTGGGTGAAGCCATGCAGGCTGTCTTGGGTGCTGCCCACCACCAGGACCTTGTGTACCCGGACAAGCCCCACAGGCTGGGCGCTCAGCTCGATGCAGTACTTGGGGCGCTTGGAGTCTCTGTGGAATAAAGACACACTCTCCAAGCTCCAAAGCCTCTCTAAGCCTCGCCTTCCCTGGCTGACACTCCTCTTTCTAAGCCCCACAGACTATCCCTGAAGGAACCTGGGCCCCAAAGTAGATGACCATAGTATTGTTTCCACGTTTACCACTTAGCAGCTGTGTGACCTTGGATAACATGAAGTGTGTTTTCTTTCCCAGTCTCCCTGCTGCCTTTACTACAGTGATTTGTGTGATGACCTGGCATTTAATGGTTTACAGTGAGTGTACTCAGGCTAGGTGAAGTGCCACTGGACTTAGGCAGTGTAGCAATTTATCAGAAATGCATGAGAAGTCTGCTATGTGTAGATGCACTGTTTTCAGTTTCCCAGCTTCTAAATCTTAGTTTCTCTTATCAAGAAAGTAGGGGTAATTTCTGCCTACTAATCACAGGCTATGGCTCCCCTTTCTTCATATGATGGCCATCAGATGATCATATCCCATCTGATGACCCATCCGAGAGCCTCCCTCTGGTCTCTGGTCCTCCTTCCAATCTACTCTCCACCCAGCAGAGTAATCTCTTAAAAATATAAATGGCTCATAGTAGTCTTCTGATTAAACCCCATGAGAGTTTTCAAACTCAAAATCTTTATCATGTCCTAACAGGCCATGCCTGGTCTGCACACATCTCTTTCCACCCTCCCCGCTGACCATCAAGCTTGAGGAGCACATGGCAATGTCTTTTCTATCTTGAATTTGCTTAAGTTTTCTCTGCTTACAACACTTCTTCCCCACTTTTGGAATAACTGGCTCCTTCTTAACCTTCCAAATTATCTCCACAGACAGGTGTTCACTGATCACCTTGGCCCTATTATTTTTGCCCACTGAGCTTGCATTTTTCCTCCAAAGCATGCATCCAATTCGAAATACATCTTGCTTTGTTGACTTTAACATCTGTCTTCCCCTGAGGGCAGGGCCTATGCTTAGTTTATATCATTTAGCAATACATCCTCTATGCTTTACATAATGCTTAAAACATGGTAGGTGCTCCAAAATATTTCTTTAATTAGAAAATGATTATCAGCCTAAAGCATAAAGAAGTGTCACATACCTATAAAGCAATACAGCAAATGGGAGGCTGTTTTTGTTTCTTCCATCACTGACTGCACTGCTCACGTACTACAGCCACCTCACCCAGTCTCTCACTTTGCCTGCTCATCACACAAGCCTGCAGGTGGCCCCCTATGCACGTGAGCTCACCTTCCTAGCCAAGTTCCCAGCTCTTTCCACTCCCAAATACCAGCCCCAAAGCCCCTGAAACCAGCCGGTTTCGGAGATGTTCTTTCTGGCCCCACACACCACGATGCAGTTACCTTCTCAGGATATAGATGTTCCCGTTGCGGCAGGCAGCAGCAAGCCGGAACTCCACATCAAACTGGCCGGAAACATCCAGGAAGACGGGGACGCTGGGTAGGCTCATCTGCAAAGGAGAGGCTCAAACATCCCAATTTTTCTGGTGCCCATCCTTCCCTACCTTGAAATAACGCCTGTGAGTTGGTTCCTTGTCCAAAGTCCCAATCTCCTCATTGTCACCCTGCTGGTCACAGTTTTTGTATACTTTTCCCGGACGGAAACTCGGCAACAGTTTTGTCTATACCTTTGACAAAACTACGCCACTTCTAGGAATGTACCCTAAAGACGTATTTAGATAAACATGCACAGGGGTTTGGGCAAGGAGGCCTACTGCACTGGTGCTGACAGTAGTGAAAACTGAAAACAATGTAAACATACAGTGAGTGATAAGGTAAATAAATTATGGTCCATTTATATAATGGATGTTGTGTGGCCTTTAAAGAAGCTAATGTCGTTTTATTCAGATATAGAAAGACACTGATGAGTTCCTAGTATGTGAAAAGAGCAGGTTACGTGATCCTTACCACAAAGCCGTTTTTGTAAAAAAAAATTTATTTATGAGTTATATATCTGTGTCTCAATATAAAAATGTCCAGAAAGACATGGCAAAACTTTAATAGTAGATATTGTGGGTGGTGGTATTTTTGGACATATACTTTTTTCTTTATGCTCATCTACATTTTATAATTTTTCTACAATGTGTATCACCAAGAACTAAGGGGCAGGAGATGGGGGAGGGAGTAGAGGGAGGGAATGCAGCCTGGGCCTCAGCTGTGCCGAGGGCCTGGCCCCATACTGACTGACCTTGGCCAAAATGATGAAGGCCTCCGGGTCCAACACCAGGAGCTCCTTGTTCTCAGTGCCCAGCACCAGGCAGGAAACCGCATCCTCGTCAGCCAGGTTCTTCTTCAAGGTGGTCATGGTGGTGATGACTGTCTGTAGAAGAACTCCAGGAGTCAGCCAGGGGGTCCCCACCCACCATCCCCACAGATACCCCAAGGAAACCACGGGAGGGAAGAAAGAGAGCAAAGGAGGAGGAAGAGTATCAGAGATGTGATGTAAGTTTTATGTACAAAAGTATTTATGGCAACAAACCTAACTTTTTTTTTTTTCAAAAAAATTTTTTTGATATTTATTTATTTTAGAGACAGAGCACAAGCCGGGGAGGGACAGAGAGAGCCAGAGACAGAATCCGAAGCAGGCTGCAGGCTCTGAGCTGTCAGCACAGAGCCCAATGTGGGGCTTGAACCCACGAACCATGAGCCTGAGCCGAAGGCAGACACCCAACCGACTGAGCCACTCAGGTGCCCCAGCAACAAACTTAACTTTCTAACAACAGAGAACTGTTTAAGTCAATTACAAATTTCCATCTGATCAAAAACCACATAGTCATTAAAGAAAAATCACACTTTTAAAAGAAGATTCAATGATAGAGAAAACACTTCTAATGTATTCAGAGAAAAAATGGGTAAAATGTTATGTTAGTATAATCCTCGTTTAAAAACATATGAATAAAAAAGCACATGCTGGCAGGTGAAACTCATATTTACTCAAATTGGTTCTATCTGGACAATGAAATCACAGGTAATGTTTAATTTCTTCATTGTGCTTTTGTAGAATTTCTACAGTGGGCACATGTTCCTTTTATAATTGTGATTGGAGAGAAAACTTTTATTTTTTATTTATTTTTAATGTTTATTTATTTTTGAGAGAGAGACAGAGTGTGAGCGGGGGAGGGGCAGAGAGAGAGGGAGACACAGAATCTGAAGCAGGCTCTGGGCTCTGAGCTGTCAGCACAGAGCTTACACTGACATGGGGCTCGAACTCATGAACTACAAGACCATGACCTGAGGACGCTTAACCGACTGGGCCACCCAGGCTCCCCTGGAGAGAAAACTTTTAAAAGAGAAGAGGATGATCTCTTTTTTAGAAATTTGTCCTATGAAAATAATTTAGCAGGACCAAAATTTTCTCTGGATAAAACTGCTCATTGTGTCTTTTTTTTTAATGTTTGTTTTTATTTATTTTGAGAGAGAGAGAGAGTATGCATGAGCAGTGGAGGGGCAGAGAGAGAGGGAGGGAATCCTAAGCAGGCTCTGTGCTGTCAGCACAAAGCCTGACTCAGGGCTTGATCTCACAAACGGTGAGATCATAACCTGAGCCAAAATGAAGAATCAGACACTCAACCAACTGAGCCACCTACGCAACCCATGTGATTATCTTTAAGATTAAAAAAGAGGAATCATTCTCAATGCCTAGTGGAAAGAAAAAGGTTACAGAAATGTGGATGTTAATGGTTCCCAATTATATAGCCATGACATATATCTTGGAAAGATTGCCTCACTCCCCTAAACTGCATCTTTGAAGCAATAATTAATTCATTTCATGATTTTATACGTACTCAAAGATACTGACACCAGTGGATTTAAGCTGCTGATCAGCAGGAGAAAACAATATTTCCCACAGAATTGGTCTAAGGCCAGCCAAAAGTTGAGGCATGCGTTGGCCAATGTGTTGGCTCAAGTGGCTTCTACAGGAAGTGGAAGGTTCCCATGAGGCTTTCAAAAATGCAGAGAACAGCTCTGGGATGGGACTGAAGGTCAGCCCCTAGGTCAGGAATCACTAGAGTTTACTGAACAGGTTCATCAATAAAACCATTAAAATGATAATTAAGAAAAATATGAAGTGAACAAAAGGGATACATTTCTTAGCTAATGACCTATATGTGAACAGTTACATAAACTAAGAATGAAATAATTGACAATTAAGGAAATAATCAAGGGGCCATTAAGAATGGAGTTCTTTTCTTTAAATTTAAACCTTTTTTAAAAATTTATTTGAGAGAGAGAGAGAGAACAAATGGGGGTGAGGGGCAAAGGGAGAGAGGGGGAGAGGGGGAGAGAGGGACAGGGGGAGGGAGAGAGAGGGAGAGAGAGGGGGAGAGAGAGAGAGAGAGAGAGAGAGAGAGAGAGAGAGAGAGAGAATCTCAAGCAGGCTCCACACTCAGTGCAGAGCCCAACATGGGGCTTGATCCCACAACCCTGGGATCGTGACCAGAGCTGAAATCAAGAGTCGGATGCTCAACTGACTAAGCCACCCAGGTGCCCCAAGAATGGAGTTCTTAAATACTGTTTAAATGCTCAAGATATAATGTTACATACTCAAGGAAAACAAATTATAAAGCATATTTGTAAGAAAATGTACCAAAATGGTAAGAATAAGTACCACTGGGTAGTAAGATTATAGTCATTTCTCCTTTATACTTCTCTTTATTCTCTAATGAAAATATGTTATCTTTACTCTTAAGAGAAGAAAATGTATGTAAAGTTCTATAACTACATATGTTAATTCAAAGCTGCCACTGTTGACTGGAAACGTAAGGCCCTGCAGCTTTGTGACCATTACGTGTGGCAGGGGCTGGAAAGGAAACTATAAAGTGACACTAGTGGGGGTTGGTTGTAGAATTTACCACTGATCTTTAAAAAAATGAGGTCTTTAAAAAAATTGCCGATCTTTTTTATAGGGAAATAAAGAGCGAAGGGGCATTACCTGCCGCTTGATGGACTTGGATTTGTGCTGGCTCACAAATGCCTCCATTTCTCTCAGCTCCAGCTGTAGAAACCTGCACACACAGAGAACTGGCACCTGCATGCCCTGGGCCTACTTCCCTCCACAGGCCATTCCACAGCCACTCCCTCCCCCTGGAGCTTCTGGAGCCCCGGTCCTCCACAGGGCCCTTACCTGAGTGACTGTACCGACAAAGGCACCTCTGCCTTCTCCCTGAAAGGAGAGGGGCAATCGTGGCAGATTTAGTTGAGGAACAGGGCCCTGGGGTTCAGACCAAGCACAGGAGGGATGAAGGAGAAGGGGTGGGAGGTTAAGGGAGGGGTGGGAGGCATATGAAGGGGAAAGTGGGCTCTCACCGGATGCCTTCCAGCATCTCCTTCAGCGTCAAGGGGTCAATCCGGTCCTGTGACAGCAAGGGAATAAGGTTAAGTCTGTGAGCTCCAGAGGCAGGCAGGGAATGAGGATGACTCAGTGGCGGCCATCTTTGCCTTCTCATTCCCATCCCCGACATCACTTACCTCCTTGGCCTGGTTCCAAAGATCTTGTTCCAGGGGGTTTGGCGGCAACTGGGGCAGGCTGAACTTGAAGTAGGGCCTAAGATTCTTATACACATACACACAAGGGCCTGAAGCGAGTGCCAGAGCTGGTGTCCGGGGTTCATGTTGCTCCATAAGGAAGGTGGCGGCCGCAGCTGGCAGTGCAGGTAATGGGCTTTCAGTCAGCACTGTGGGTCCTTTGAGCACCTTCAGGCGGGGATGCTGCCCACCTGGGCCAAGATCCCCCACCACCAGCTGTAGAAAGAGGCTGGCTTATTTCAGGCTCAGGGTCTAAAGACCTCTCCACTGACCCCCTTCTTGGGCTTAGCCTTTTTGCCAGTGCACATTCATTCACTCCTATATCAATGCACCAAAGGTGTGGGGCACGGAGACTCTGCAAAAAGGCTTGCAAGTTATATGACCTTGGGAGAGTTGATTAAACTTCCTGAGCCTCAGTTTTCCTACCCACAAAATGGGAATATCTATCTCATGACACTTGTAGTGAATATCAAATGAGGTAATGAATTAAGCAACCCGGTGAAGGCTAGTGAGGAGTAGGTGGCAGATGATGTTTTCGTTACTCATTTGGGAATCACTTCTTCAGAGCCTGCTCCATGCCAGGCACTATTCTAGACAGTGGACAGTGGCTAAAGTCAGTGAGGTGCTGGAAACTCATATCTGGGCCTCTGAAGCCTGGCTTCCAAGTGGGAAGAGAGCACAAGCATGCATGCAGACAGGATGTGCTCTGTGGACAGAGAGAAGAACCAAGCTCCCCAGTCTCTCTTTTCCACCCTCCAAACTATCCTCCAAGCTACTGTGTCTGCCAAGCAAGCCCATTCTCCCAAGTGAGGCCTTCAAGGCCTCTCTGATCTCGTTTCCAACCTGTTTTCCATCACCTTCCAATCCATGCTATTCTCCAGCCAGGATGGGGGCTGCCACAGAGCATCTGGATTCTGAGAATGTACAGTGTGCCAGGAGCCACGGCAGGCACTACATGCATCCTTTCATTTAGTCCTTTCAACAACTCCTGGGATAGGTACTATTATTAGCCCCATTGCACAGATGGGGAAGCTGTGACTTAGAGATGTTAGGTAAAAGTCACTCAAGCAAGTGGCGGAGCTCGGACTAGAATCTAGGTCTGTCTGAGTCTAAACCAGTGGTATTGACTACTATTTTACTTCCTTACTTACTTATTTATAGAGTTTGAGTGTGCGTGAGCAGGGGAGGGGCAGAGAGAGATGGAAAGAGAAAGGATCCCAAGCAGACAGCACTGAGCCCGACTCGGGGCTTGAACTCACAAACTATGAGATCCTGACCTTAGCCGAAATCAAGAGTTGGACACTTAACCTAATGAACCACCCAGGTGCCCAACTAGTACTTTTATTGGCTTTCCCTTTCTAACTTCAAATTTACTCTTTCAAAATGTGCTATAAACTTCCAAGTCTCTGTGCCTCTACTTGTGCTGTTCCCTCTGACTGGAATGCTTCCCCCCTCCCCTCTTCCATACCTTCTTGATACATTTCTTTCATCCTTCAACACCCAGTTCACATGTTACTGCCTCCTGGTGCCTCCAGATAGATTTCACTATTCTCTCCCTGCTGCTCCCATAATACTTTCCATATGTTCAATTTTAACATCCTTTTGTTTACTCCATAAAAATTTACTGAGTACCCAATTTGGGCCAGGCACTGGGCTAGATTCTGGGAATCAACAAACTAGCTCTTAAAAGTTATTTCACAAAAGCATCGAATATTTCACATTAGTTATTGGAGCTGTGATTTCTATACCTTTCACTGCTATAAATCCAGTGCCAAGCACACACTAGGTATTCAGTCCATATCGATGGATAAATTAAGGGCAGTGTCTGTATCTCTTCCCGACTGTGTACTGATTCATTTCTTTTTTTTTAAGCATAGTTTTTTTTTTTTTTAATTTTTTAAGTCTTTATTTATTTTTGAGAGAGAGACCAAGTGTGAACAGGGGAAGGGCAAGGAGAGGGAGACACAGAATCTGAAGCAGGCTCCAGGCTCTGAGCTGTCAACACAGAGCCCAATGTGGGGCTTGAACTCACAAACTGTGAGACCATGACCTGAGCCGCTCAGATGCGGAACTGACTGAGCTACCCAGGCACCCCCTGATTCATTTCTGACTTTAGTGTCTGCATAATGCCTGACAGACAGTAGAGGTTCACTGCACACTTGCCAAACTGCAGAATGCTTTAAGGACAGGAATTGGGGGCATATGTCCACCGAATTCTCCTGTACTCTCCGTGAAGGGTAGGGTTCCAGACCTATCTTCTAACTGCCCAAATAACATGCCCACTGCGGGTTCAGTGCCCATGGTTGAGCCATAGTGGAACAAACACATGACTGGGAATGCAACCAGACCCAGGTCTGCCACTTTTTACAAACTCACTAAGCTTATTCAGTCTGAATCTATTTTCCCATTAACAAATTGGGAATAAATATGTATGTATGTATGTATGTATGTGAAAATGCTCAAAGAGGGTCTACTCCAGAAATGGACACTCAATATATGTTAACCCACTTTAAGCCCCAAATATTTCTCAATCTTTTAAAAACCTGTACCTTTAATTTTAAAATTTATTTATTTATATTTTATTTATCTTTATGTTTTTATTAAACTTATAATTTAACCTTTTTATTATTTAAAGTTTTCAGTCATATACAAAAGCAGAGAGATTAATATAATGAACCCCCAAATACCATCCAGTTTCAATAATTAGTAACTCATGGCTAATCTTATAATCTATGCTCATTATTTTTAATTTTTAATGTTTACTTATTTTTGAGAGACAGAGACAGAGCATGAGTAGGGAAGGGGCAGACAGAGAGGGAGACACAGAATCCAAACAAAGCAGGCTCTAGGCTCTGAGGTGTCAGCACAGAGCCTGACATGAGGCTCAAACCCATGAACTATGAGATCATGACCTGAGCTGAAGTCGGACGCTTAACCAACTGAGCCACCCAGGCACCCCTATTTATTTATTATTTTAGAGAGAGGGAGAGCATGCAAGCGGTGGAGGGAGCAGAAAAAGAGAGAGACAGAATCCCAAGTAGGCTATACTCAGTGCAGAGCCCTAGGTGGGACTCCATCCCATGACCCTGGGATCACTACCTGAGCCAAAAACAACAGTCGGACATCAACGACTGAGCCAATCAGATGCCCCTTGCCCTTTTAATAAACATAAAGCTCTCTCTTCCTTCCCTTCTACTTGCTCTCCAGATTCCAACGCCCCACTCCCAACCAACGGATGTGCCCTTCCAGCAAGGAATTATGTCAAGTTAACAAAATTAAGAGGCTTTGTCTTGGTAGAATCCCCAGCAGCATTTTGTTCTGCTTTGCTTTCTGCAGTCTGTATTCTGAAATCAACAAGTCCTCTTCACCATCCACATAAAAATAAAATTTAACACTAAATGTACTTTTTCAGGGTACATGAGCTCCAGATTACGCTGAACTCCTTTGGAGCCATCAGGAAACCTCATTTCTGATATCTCCCCACCCCCCAATTCTCTTTCAGCTGAGGGGATATGCTTACCTTGTACTCCCCATCCCCATGCAAATCTGCCAGCGCTGGAAAACACAAAAGGGCCATAAACCGGGGTTTCAGAAGCTTTGAGGCTTCACTACAGAACCATTATTTGACCCCTCCACCCCACCCCACTCCCCCCACCCAGAAGCAGGGGTTCCTGGTCCCAGAGACTCACCCAGGCAGCTGGAAAAGGTGTGGATGTTGGCCACGGGGTCGTAGTGTGCGTCCAGCCATTTCGAACTGGCCTCGTTGCTGGGAGAGGAGGGAAAGAGTTGGGCGCTGAGTCCCAAGGGAGAGTAAGAAAACTTTGAGGGGGCTAGTCTCAGAGTGAAGTGTGTAGGGCGCTCTGAAATGGGGATACAGAACCTCTGGGTCCAAGTCCAGGCTCCACCACAGGCTCCCTGAGTGACCCCGAGTCACACACACACGCATATTCACTCCTTGGGCCTGTTTCCCTACTTGATCCCTAAAATCCGTTCAAGGACACCCGGTGCCTTCCGAGAACCGCAGGTGCCCAGATCCCAGGACCCAAGACCCCCTCTTTACATTTATAGGAAAGGAGGCCTCGAAGACCCCGGCCTTCACCTCTCAGCTCGGCCGCAGTCGGAATCAGACGAAGACGCAGCAGCCATCTTCGCAGACGTCGCCTTGGCAACCGGCTTCGGTCAGCCGCCGCGCAACGCCCAATAACGCCCGGGCTCGGGGAAGCGCGCGTACAAAGGTTCCGGGCGCTCAGCTTTCCGGCCCAGGGCAGGGAGGTCACCGTGCGGTAGACGCTGCACTCGGTTGAGCTTCTGCCTGCTGAGGCGCAGTCTCTCATCCCAGCTCGTAGGTTTTACCTTTGCTCCTTCCCAGCCTGAACTTGGGGGCCCTGGAATCTCTGGGTTATTGACAGGACCCTCTGGCCTCAAGGCCTGGAGGGAAGCCCTTCTAGTGTTTATGAGCAGTGAGAGTAACTGCTTACCCTCTTCATCCTCATGGTTAACCGGGCTGGAAAGGTTCTATGTCCTTTCTTCCCATCTTGCTCTAGCGGTCTGGGCTCGGAGAAACAAAACACGGGGTTAAGAGATTAAATCCTAGGATTGACTGACGTTGAGAGTTTCTATAGTTTTTAGTCTCCTGTAATGTTTTATTTTATTTTTAATTTTTTTAACGTTTATTTATTTTTGAGAGAGAGACAGAGCATAAACGGGGGGAGGGTCAGAGAGAGAGAGACACACAGAATCGGAAACAGGCTCCAGGCACTGAACCATCAGCACAGAGCCCGACGCGGGGCTCGAACTCACGGATGGCGAGATCATGACCCCAGCTGAAGTCAGATGCTTAACCGACTGAGCCACCCAGGCGCCCCTCCTGTAATATTTTAAAATACAGGAAATGCCACAAAGGAGGACTGGAAAAATGGCTCTATGTTCCTTTTTGTGTTTGTCTTGTACCATCTAGAGGTGATATCAAAATCCTATTGTAGAGGGGAGCCTAAAACTGACCTCCCTTCCCTTCCCCAGGGCTCCCGTTACCCTCCTGGGAACAAGTGAGAAGTGAGGCAAACGCAAGGATTCACACAGATCACAAAGATGGTGGTTGTTTCTAATATTTATTTTTCTGGTTATAAAAGTAATACATGAAGAGCACTGGATTGGGAGAGGTTTTGAGTCCTGCAGGATCTAGACAGGTCACTTCTCACAACTTCCATTCCCTCACTTGGCAAGCAGAATAAGGAGCCTGGCCTTGCCCACTCTACCAAGGGCAGTGCAGATCAAATGAGATAACACAGGAGAAGCACTTGGTAAACTGGAAAGTGCTGACAAATGGAAGAGGTTAGTGTCACCACCCTCGGCTGAGGTAGCACCAAGGTCTGAGCTCCTGCTCCTCCCCTAGCATACACGTGGTTTGATGGAGTTGAGGGAGGAGCTGCATAAATCGGTCTCAAGCCTGGCCAGATGGGGCCTCACTGGGGCACTTCCAGAACCGGGCATCAGCTGTGGCCAGTTGGGTGAGGGTCTCCTCCAACTCGGGCCCGTCCTCTGGGAAGCGCTCAGAGAAGGATTGGATGAGACCAGCAGCCGAGGCCTCATACTCAAGGAGCTGCACTTCTGAGCCTGGGGAGGAGGATAAAAAAAAAAAAAAAAAACAGCAACAGGGAAAGGTCTTAATAGGGAAGCAGATAATCATAATCATAGAAGCAGGTAGTTACCAGGTGCCAAGAATCGTGCTCGGTGTTTTATTATCTAATTTAATCCTTATAATAACTCTATGAAGAAGGAAGTGTTAAAGGGGGAGTAGTCAATAAATTGCTGCACTCATTCACTCATTCACTCATTCATTCATTCATTCATTCACTTAATGAGTATATACTCTAGTGCCATGTTAGGTTAAACAGATAGTCCTTGACCTCCAAAAGCTTACAGTCCAGCAACTGCTTCATCTCTGACTACTGTGGGACCTTGGGAAAATTTCACAAGCTCTCTAAGCCTCACTTTCCTCATCTATAAAATGGGAATGAGCATAGTACCTCTTCTCTCAAGAAGCTATGGTGACTAAATACAACAACGCACAGGAGTACCTGGGTGGCTCAGTCGGTTGAGCATCTGACTCTGCTCAGGTCATGATCCCAGGGTCATGGGATTGCGCCCCATGTCAGGCTCCATGCTAAGCATGGAGCCTGCTTAAGATTCTCTCTCTCTCCCTCTGCCCCTCTCCCCCACTTGTGCACTCTCTCTCTAAAATGAAAAGATAAATATGATAATGCATGGAGTAAATGCCCAACAAGTGCTAGGTATCACTAGCATCGTTATCTCTGAACCCATCAGAGTTAAAAGGGCACCCATTTAACTCACGGGCTGTTCTGGGGGTCCCCTGAGTACTCATGGGAAGAATGTCCCTCCAACATACTTCCAATGCTTTACCACTCACAGAACCTTGTTGTGCTCTTGTGGCATTGCGGGGTGTATGTAGCTAATACCACAGGCTTTGGGTTCGGACAGCCCATGTTCAAATCCTGGCTCTGCCACCCACTAACTGTTGACCTCAGACAAATACACAGCTCCTCTGTGTCTCAATACGGGTAATAACTTCCTCAGTGGGTTGCTGGGAGTTAATCACAGGAAGTTTTTACCCAGTGACTACCACATAAAAGTCCTCAAAAGTTAGTCACCACCACCACCACCACATCTTTGAAAATCCAACCTGCTCTTCAGGCTTAGTTTAACCACTTCCTCCCCAGAAGCTTCACCGATTCCCCTGAAGGTGAATGTGACCTTCTCTAAGTGTTCAGATCACCGTTTGGGCCTCTTGGGTGCTTATTAACACTCCCTGGGTGTGATCATTTCTCTCTAGGCCTTATTCCTAATGGACTGTGAACTCTTGAGGCAAGGGCCTGGGTCTGATTCATTGCTCCATCCCCAAGGGCCCACATAGGGCTGGACAAGCAGAGCAATGCTGTTGTAATGAGCATTTATTATGTGTCTGGCACGATTACTCATTTGACGTGCATTGAGCAGCTCCCGTGTGCCAGGCCCTATACTAGCTACTTGCGGGGGATGTGCCATTTTCGCTGACATGGAGGCAAGGCAGGCAAGGAAAATAGCAAAGAGTGACAGTGCATGAAGGAATCACTTTAGGTTGAGGGGTCAAGGACAGCCTCTCCCAGGAGGTGCCATTTTAACAGAGACCAAAATGACAAGAAGGACCAACCAAAGATCGGGGGAGGACTGTACCCAGCGGAGGAAACGTTGAGTGCAAAGGCTATGGCAGCCTCAGGGGGCAAGCTCAGGGGGCTGGAGAAATGGAAAGGCCATGAACCTGGAGGCCAGTGAGTCAGGGAAGAGGGGTCCCAGAGGCCTGCTAGGGGTCCGGGCCAAATCCCCTGAAGCCTCTGGAGTGCAGCGTGAAGAGTTGGAAATAAGCCTCTTAAATGTGTTTTCCTTGCCAGTCGGAGGTAATTCTTTCATTTAGCCTTCACGACTGCCCATGACTCTGGTAGTGAGGAGCACTCTTAATTCGGCTCTTGGTTCTTCCAGTAAAGAGCTGTAAGCCTTGAACAACTTAGTCTCTGTGCTTGTTTTCTTAACTGTAAAGTGGGGATAATACCTACCTCATTGGGTTATGGTGTGAGGATTTATTTTTATTTTATTTTTTAAGTAAGCGCTATGCCCAAAGTGGGACTTGAACTCATGACCTCAAGAGCCAGCCAGGCACTGCTATGGTGAGGATTTATTATTTTTTTTTTTTTAATTTTTTTTTTCAACGTTTTTTTTATTTATTTTTGGGACAGAGAGAGACAGAGCATGAACGGGGGAGGGGCAGAGAGAGAGGGAGACACAGAATCGGAAACAGGCTCCAGGCTCCGAGCCATCAGCCTAGGGCCTGACGCGGGGCTCGAACTCACGGACCGCGAGATCATGACCTGGCTGAAGTCGGACGCTTAACCGACTGCGCCACCCAGGCGCCCCTATGGTGAGGATTTAAAGGGTTAATCCAAGGAAAGCACTAAGAGCTTGAAGAGAGTACTTAATTTAGGTTTACTACAGTGTCAGCACACAACGAACACTGGCTCTATGACTGAAGACACCCAAGCCAAGAGAGGTTAAATGATTAGGCCAAGGTCACAGAACAGCTCTGAAGCTCATGTGGTAACCACTGTATGGCACTAACTCATGTGACAGGAGTCAGGAACGATGGGTCAGGAGGGGAGCGGAAAGTGAATGCAGCAGTGGGCTGGGACCCCAGGGGCCTCTAATACAACAGGTACAAGTGCAGCGCAGACAGGGTAAGGCTTCTGGAAATGGGATTATCATTTGAGGAGGGAGAGGGACCATGGGGCTGCTGATCTCTCTGCTGGGCTCTACAGAGTCACATTGTCCCCAGAGTTCCACCAGCCTGCAGGGTTCCAACTCACTGCCTGCCCTGACCTCTCCTCATCCCCAGGCACCGAGAGGCCTGATTCTCCAGGACTATTCCTGGCCTCCCATAAGCTTGAAGTCTGTCTGTTCCACTAGCCCCTGCTCTGCTGGCCTTCCTCAAACCTCCAGTCACTGTCTTATAAGCAGCACAACCGTGTGTGTAGCAGGGAGGTGGTAGATGCTGAGGTTTTGGCCTGGGGTTTGGTCTGGGGTTTGGCCTGGGGTTTTGGCCTGGGGTTTTGGCCTGAGGTTTGGCCTGGGGTTTGACTGTGGCAGGGAGGGAGAGAGGCAGGAGTCACTTCAGGTAGCCTGAGCCCAGGGATTGGTTCCAGGCCTCGTCTCTCATGGGGCCCTGAATGGCCCCCCATCAAAGGAGGCTCAGCAGTCTGTTACCTTCAAGACGAGTGTTGGGCTGAACGATGAGCTTCCGAGATTCCTTGCGGAGCAGCACGGTATCCCTGAGGGTGAGGAAGCACTCAGGGGGTGCATCAGTGACCGCTGCGTACCCCTCATACAGGGCCCGGCCTCCGGCCACATCTCCCGTGGACTTCAACACCTGTGGGAAGGCAGGAAGAGTCAGTGCCTATGACAGGCACCTCCCCTGCATCCATGGGGCTTTGCCAGGGGCTGCAGCCAACTGTGCCCAGCCCTGGACAGTATCTGCTCTCTCGTGGTGTTACTGTGCTGAATATGTGAAAAATGTAGATCAAGGGCTTAGCTCATAGTAAGTGCCCAGTAAAGTGAAGTGAGTATTTCTCATTTGGTTGTCTCATTTGAGCTGTGGACAGAGAAAGCATTACCATCACTTTTTTTTTTTTATTTCACATACACAAAATATACAGTATATATATTAGGTTATAACATATGGGTCATAAACAATGTAATACATAGGTTATAAAAAATAATAAGACACCCATGCAACCAGCACCCAGCTTGACTTAGCTCCTTCCTTTTTTTAAAAAATTAAATTTTTAAAAAAGTATTTATTTATTTTTGAGAGAGAGAGAGAGAGAGAGAGCATGC